GCTCACGCCGTGTGCCCACTCTCCGCGGTGACTCCCATGTGCCAGCCCTTTCCTCTTGGATAGAGTTAGGGATCTGCGTCACACACTTCGGTGGGGGATAAATAGTGTGTTTCGTTTCAGCCATTTCTATTTGAAACGAGTTGATTTAAAGAAATTGGTGAGTCCGTTGAAGAAGAATCATAACTGGTCAATGGCACAGGCAGACGCGGTGACGGGGGCGGTGCCGTGTCAGGGGCTGGAATGTGGGTGTGCCATCCCCACCTCATGCCCCGGGAGGAGGAGGGACACACAGACATTTCAGGCGAGCCCTGTCCTTCTGGGAGGCCCTCCGGCCGCGGCTCATGGTGTCGATGTTGCTCTCTCTCTCTCTCAGATCAATCAAACAATCAATCAAAATTCATTGGAGCCAACCCATGTGCCAAGAGGTCATGGTTTGATTCCTGGTTAGGGCACATGCGGGGGTTGCGGGCTCGGTCCCCAGTGTGGGGCGTGCAAGAGGCAGCCGATCCGTGATTCTCTCTCATCATTGATGTTTCTCTCTCCCTCCCTCTCCCTTCCTCCCTGAAATAAATAGAAATACATTAAAAAGAAGAGAGAAGATGCCAATGGTATCCTTTCATTCACTCACAAGGCACTTTTCCACTTGCCAATGCATTTTCCCATCGATGCGTCAATCCACGAACGTGTTACCTTTTAACCCCTTCAGCCACCACTCTCCGCCTCACCCGCCCACTCACATGTGGCTGTGCCTCCGCTCAGCCCTTCACCGCTGCGCTCACTGTGCGTTTGTTTCATTCATTCGCAAACAAAACACTTTGAAAGCAACTTAAGCCTCTGGAGAAACGTGGCAGGGTCTGACCACCACCAGGTCACCGGGCGCGGCCACGTGCAGGGGGACAAGCACGTGTGAGAGGTGCAGGCCCGACCCGTCTACTGTGACCGTGGGATCCCAGCGTCACGTGGGTGCTGGGTCTTGAGGCCTCCCCCCCCGGGCTTTCCCCGGGTGTGACTGAGCTTTCGTGGGGCGCCCGGACCTCTGGCGACCCTGAGCCATCCTTGGGCTGCCCCTAGAACGAGAGGACCCTGAGGATCCCCCCGGGAAGCAGTGGATGGTCAAGTGCGAGCACCAGGGCTGTGGTGTGCCAGGAGGGAGAGAGCGGCCTTCTCTTCTCCCGCGGAGGAGTGTCCGCCGGTTCCTGAACGTCTCACTGTCCCTGAAGGACGGGCGGGGCGGGTGCTGTGTGTGTGTTTTACTCATCGAGACTCTGGATCCGAAAGCACAGGAACCTGCCCTGGCCGGTGTGGCTCAGTGGGTAGAGTGTCGGCTTGTGGGCCAAAGGGTCCTGGGTTCGATTCCAGTCAAGGGCACGGACCTCAGTTGCAGGTTCCTCCTCAGCCCGGGCCCTGGTCAGGGCGCGTGCAGGAGGCAACCGATCGATGTGTTTATCTCACATCGATGTTTCTCTCTGTCTTTCCCTCTCTCTTCCACCCTCTCTTTCTAAAGATTAATGGAAAAAATATCCTCAGGTGAGGATTAAAAACAAACAAACAAATAAAAAACCCAAAAGCGTAAACTGTTCATTTATTTATATTTGTTAATCCTCACCCGGGGATATTTTTCCATTGATTTTTAGAGAGAGTGGAGTAGAGAGGGAGAGACAGAGAGAAACATCTGTGTGAGAGCAACACATTGCTTAGTTGCCTCCTGCACGCGCTCTGACCAGGGCCCAGGCCGGGGAGGAGCCTGCAGCCGAGGTCTGTGCCCTTGACCACAATTGAACCCAGGACTTTTCAGTCCACAGGCTGACTCTGTATCCACTGAGCCACACCGGCCAGGGCTGTGCTGACCATGTAGAAAGCGTCCGCTGCAAGGAGCCTTTCGGTGCGCAGCCCGTGTCACCTGTCCACTCACACAGGCGGGCGTCACCTGCTGGCTTCGTGGTCCAGCCTGTGCCACACCAGGAAGGCGGCCCGGTGGCCAGCTGGGAGCTCGTTCTGCCCCGTTCAGGCTGCAGGTAACCCCCTGGGGGCCCGCCTCCCCCCAGGATTCATGAAGCCTTCGCCCAAGGAGCCACCTTACCTGTGGGTCAGAGCCCCGCCCACATTGAGGCTCAGCTCATGGCCAATCACAAGGGTTCTTACCCGGTTGCCTAGGTAACCGGAGGGGACCCTGGAGGAGGACCACAGGACGGGAAGACACACAGGCACACGGGGTGGTCCCAGGTGCTCATCCTCCATCCCATCGCCCCGTCCAGGCCCTCGCCACCCCACCGCCCAACTGGCCTTTGGCTTGTTGCTTTACTTGACTGAACATACACAGCCACGAGCACGCAGGGCAGCCAGCAGTGCGGCCGGGATACTGTTCCTTTCTCTTCTGGTTTATTTGTGACGGAATCTACCGTATAAATCACTCGAAGCCACCAAGACAGAAAGGGAAATGTCATGTTCGAATGGAGGGTGCAGGGCGCGCTCCCCTTACCATCCAGAACACGTGGCCGGTTGGTGGCCCTTCCTGGGGAGGGGGGCGGGTATTTTGTGAGCCTGGCTGCAGACCACGTGCCGCGCTCAGGCAGCTCCGCCCTCCGTGGCCGTGGGAGGCGC